GTCATTTTTTTATTTTTAGAAATTATGTCATTTCTTTTTATTTTTAGAAATTGCGACATTTTTTCGATTTTTAGAAATTGCGTCATGTTGCTATTTTAAGAAATTGCGTAACAAAACTAATGTGACAAGACAGACCAACTAAATTTATAAAAAGGAAACGTCAATATATGTTCAAACCTTTCTATGTTTGCGTTTAGAAAAAGTAAAAAGTCGAGCGTTGCCCCCGCCCGGCGGTGGCTCTTGTTATATTTAGCGCTGGTGGTAATTTTGATCAGCAGCCGGAACCATTTTACGACCATACAACGAACATTGATGTATAGACTCATCAAAAGTGACCACTAAGTTAAGAAGGAAATGTTTAAACATTTATTAAAAAACTACCCAAGGATCATTCAAGTGGAGTTTTATCAAAATGATATTATAACCAATGTTTTATACTCCATTATGTAAGTTTGTTAATAAATTAGTTCCACCATCCACCAAAAAACTGAGTAAACTAGACATAGATTAAGTCATGTGTCATGTCCATACTAAAAATTAATTATATCAACTGAACTCAGCATTAATTATATTGAATAATTATTGCGTACAAATGCAAAACCAATTTAAGATTTCAATACAGCACTTTGTAAAATCATAAAAATCGTTTTACCTCTCTTCAATTTGCGTTTGTCCGATCCTTCCATGAGTGCCTGTAAAACGTTCAGACCTTTGTTTTAAAATGGGTGTGTTTCTCAGACTCTTCCCAAGATGCTTTGAATAAAACATTTTGCTTAACATAAAGATGTACATCAAACAGATAACAATATAACTAACCTTTTTCGCTTTCTATGGTTCCATATGGGTCATAAAAGTAACGAGAGGCATAGAATATGGAATAATCTTTAGGATGTTTCATCATGAATTGAAAACGTGTTATAGGATACGAACTACCGAACATACTAACATAATCTAAAATCAAAACCATCATTGCATTGAAAAAACATCTTGATGTTTTTGTATCAGTCCATTAAAAGTTGGAATTTTGAAACAAAATCACTGATTGTCGACAAGGACGAGTTTAAATATTAAGGATCATAAAAAAAGACTTTTGTCTGGGTTATATAAATTGCAGACTTTAGGCAACCCTGTTGGTTTAATCCGCCAATGGACTTATGATTCGTTCATGTTAGGAAACTTCTTTACATTTTGCTCTTAAAGGAAGATATTGGATGCTGTTTTAGTGTATTAATTTTTGCCTTTTCTGCGATAATTTTGCTATATATAATTTTAAAGTATAAAGTTGGTTTTATAAACCATTAAGTTTAAAATTTTCATAGAAAGATTTTACGAAATGTCATACAATTTTGTAGAAATACACGTCTGATTATATATATATAACTTTAATAAGCTTCCAACACCTTACCATTTAATTATACCAGCAAAAATCGATAAAAAGATAGCAAAAGACATTGAATTGTGTATATTGTGTATATATTCAATGTTACATTTATTGAAGTTGAATAATATAATATTATTCAACGACACTAATACATTAGTAATAAAATAGAGTGAAATAAGAATCCCTAAGAATTAGAAACCTACACGAATACTATATTCCCTTTTTACTGGTAATCGGTCTTATTTTGGGTATGTTATAAATAGAATGTTGTTTTGGAGTAGCTTCATTACACTCATTGGATAAAATAGTATTATTCGAGTCGTGCAATTATTTCAGTACTGAACATACACTCATTTATTATCCTGCTCCGTGGTTCATGAGGAAACATTATATATAAAACAATCAAATGTTGAAAGCTTATTGTAGAAATTTAACCGAGTTACAGATACTATTATGAACACTAAGGCTAAAAGATCACTGTAGCAATGTACCTGATTTATTACAGCAAGTGTTTCCTTGAGTTCATTCAAATGTTCGTCATATGTGTCCATGCACTTGGACAGAGACCTGCTATTCTCCTTCTTTCGTTTACGATGGATATTGTTGCCCTCTTTTTTAAGAATCTTTACAGCTTCGGTGAAACGTTTAGCTTGAACAAGTAATGTGTCAGTCTCCAAGTTATACTCATCATTGAAAGCTTTTCTGAAATAATTATTTTTTCCGTATTTTCTTAAAAGTGACAAATTGCCAATCAAAGAGTAAATGTTAAAAAACGTTCTGTTTTAACTCTTATTTGATTTCACTTGTTTTTAAGAAACCTCACTTGAGTAATCAATACCCGCGCGACCCATATACACATCCATTTATATTCTTCATGTTCAATTTATTAAGGGTGTAGCGGTCTTTTCATATTTTAGGAACTTCTTATATATTTTATCCTAAACATTTGTAATTATCAATAATTGTTCAATCGCAATTAAGATAGTTGATCTTTTGAAATATATGTAACTAATTTATCTCAGATTGACAGTGAAAAAATGAGCAAAATGTCACTTTTAAACGATATGGATAACATTATATTCGCAAAAAACAACAGAAAGATTGAGAATTATATCTAAAAGTATTCCAGGCTTTATATGTTATCGAAAATATCATTATGTTCATTTATGCACAGATGAATGTATATGCTGTTTGAATTATACATTTCATGATATCTTTAATCGTTGTGATTTATTTCAGTAATTTTCTTAAGTGTTAAGGAGAATTTGTTTTCAATATATGTGCTAATTTCTGTCTAAAATTCATATTTATTACAGTTTGAAACATCTTAACCTGCCCAATGTAAACAGGTATTAAGTTGCGTCATTGATCACTTATCATAGATTTAAGTATACATATATTTCTGCACATTTGATATCATGCGTCGGAACACTATTCTGATCTAGATGTGTATGTTATCATTGATACTAACATTAACATAGACTTAAATTCGTACGTAATACCATGTCTCAAAAACAGATATAATTTATAAATGCAAATCTGATATTTCTGAAGAAGAATCACATTAATCTAAAAGTTAAGATTTGACAAACACTGTCATTGGTAAAAAAGGCTAAATAATTAATTTATTTTACGAGATAGTCACTGTAGGATAAAGAGTGTAAACCTATTTCTTATAAAATGCTATATTTAAACATACTGACTTTTTTCTTTTTACTTTCTAATGATCATGCTTTATAATTTAAGGTAGTACACCCCTAATGGGCACTATAAGGAATTGTAAATTTGACAACATAGGACAGTTATATGCCTTAAATGTCACCTGTATGCAAAATTTAAACAAAATTTACCGTGTGGTTTATGAGTTATGGACATTTTTATGAACTAAATCTTTGCCATTAGAAGGGATTTTTTCAGAAATGAGGAAACTCTAAATAATCTATAATATCATCATTATGAAAAATGTTTTCCGTTTTCTCATTGTTAAAAAATAAATAATGACATTTAAATTACAAATTAAACAAGCAAAATGATTGTTTTTAAACGAAATGTTTTAAATATGTATAAAAATGTAACCCTACCCCACCCAATTTAACACTAATTTGACCATTTCCCTATGTAAAAAGCCTTATTTAAAATATCCCTAAAATTTTGCAGATTGAGGGGCTATTTTCAAAATTTGCCTAAATTTTCTTTAATGTATATTGGTTGGTCTTGCAAACTATAAAATACTTTTACCGTTTAGTTTTTATTTTATTAAACTTTGAAAATATCTGGTATCATATTTGCTATTAAATTTGGCATTATTTAGTAAATAAATACTTACAATAATTATATAATTAAAATAAAACCCTTTTTCCTTCCATAGGGGGTCTGAGAGATTAATAAAAAATGTTAAAAAGAAAAAAAGAAAGAAACAAAATTGCCCCTTCTGGGATTTGAACCCACGCCCCCTCAGTTTCAATACACTTTACAGTGATTTTAGCCTATCTGAATACTCTTCAAAGTGGAGACAGTGCATTAGGGGTGTACTACCTTAAGACCAAACATTTTTACTTTCAATTTTTCATTTGTTCGTCAACATATTTATTATAAACATTGAACTAAGTGTGTAAAAGGCTGTACAATGCAAACCATCATTAGATCGTTGCTACATTTATTATATCATTCCATCGTTTATAAAACAAACATACTTTTCCACGAATAAGGAGATTACCAAAACCGAAAGTAACTCCGGTAAAAACACGGTTAAAAATAAAAACCTAATAATTAAGTTAATCAATACTCACTTTTTTAATTCTTCCGTCGCACTATCGTCTCCTTTACTTTTCTTCTTCATAAAAGACATTTTGGACAGAGAAAAACTCAACTTTCCGACCAGGAGGGTTAAAATTAGTTGTGCGTTTGATAACGCTACGTTAACTTCTACCTGTCAGATCGATTAAGTGTTACCTCCCCTTTATTGTGAGCTATTTGTGTTTACCTTTTTTTGTCCATGGACCCGATTTTTATCAATTAATCCCTCCGATTTACAGCTAAAAATAAATTCGGAAGCACGATTACCTTTCGATTTCTATTATGTAAAGTCATATATTGGTCTCCCCTTTGGTGATTCGCAGCATTTCATATTGATGAATGAGAAAGGGAACAGATCTATAAATAGATATGACCTTAACATTGAGAAAGTCCGAAAATATATTTATAGAAGTTGTTTAATTAACCGCTAAGGTAATTGAACGAAAATTTATTCAAACATAAATTGCACCCATTATAACTTATCGAAAATAAAATAAAATAATAGCTCCCCTGATTATTTAAATCGGCCCTGGTGTCCGAATTTTTGCTATTAGAAGTTGATTCCATTTTGTTTGAAGGCAATCGGTTTTATGGTGGTTTGAGTGGAATGTTGATTTGCCGAATACTGCGACATGTATTTTAACAACAGAAACTTTCGACGGTATTTTAACAACAGAAACTTTCGACGATGTGTTATGGGTTTATTTCAGACGAGGATTTTGAAGCAATTCAACAAAATAGTAGATTTATCTCCCAACAATATAGCTCTTTGTAAAGTAGCTTTTATATCTTTGACTCGCATGAACATGATGTTAGTGAATTTCCTCATGTTTAAATGTACCATTATTTTTGTTAACGCGTATATCAAAATAAATTCTGAATTTGGTCTTTTAGAAATTCATTCCAATTTTTTCATTCCAGTTGTGTTCTTCTTTCAGTATTTATCTGAGACTTAAAATATAGCTACTGCATCAAAAGAAACCTTTTTACTTAATTTGATAGAAAAATGCCTGTTATATTACAATTATATTAGTATATTTTGTTACTTTTTTATATGCTGTTTGTATATCTGTTACAATTATAATAAAAAATCAGTTTTTGTTCAATTTGACTACTGTTTTGTATGTTCAAAAGAAAATTCATTAAATATTTTTATCTTTAGCAAGCCGACCAAAATTCATGGTGAACAATGTATTTCGCCCGCCCATTTATCTATGGTATACATGTGCAATTCTAGTAAAATCCAATTAACCATTTAAAAGTTTAAAAGAATATCTGGTCATCAGATGTCTATTGGTTCATCGTCACTTGCTGCATTTCTTGCTGATGCTTTACATCAATGCCTTTCTTGTTCAACATGATATACCATTTGGCGCGAAACATGTAACGGACATTTTGAAAAATTATGTCGATTTGGCTTATTTACATGTGGATTTTGATATTTCTTGCAATGATTAGTTGTTAATATTAGAAGAAAGTGTAGCATTATAGGTGAAAAAGAAAATGTACATGCTTTGATATTTTTTATCATCTAATATATTACTTACTACAGTAGTGACACAAACAGAACAATGTTGCACTACTGTCATGTCACATTACATTAACAAGTCTTGTAAGTCTTGTTTGTATTGGAATTACTTTCATTACAAGGTAAGCATTAGTGAAACCATTTTTTTTTAATTTAATATCTGGCCCCTTTGTCATGGACAGTGCATACGATAAGTATAATTATTCAAATTTATATGATTTACAAAACATCCGGATTAATGTACACTAGTCCTTAATCTAAATAGAAAATGATTTGGTAAGGTATCTTTAATGAGCGCATTTTGGCGCGGAGCTTCTCAATTGCTGCATTGCAGCAACATTTGTACTTGTTGAATTCGGTTTCAACTTGTATATTCGTGTAATTTTTTGCAGAAACATCCCGAGAGGTCAAAATATGCAAAATTAGCTCTTACTGTGTTTGTCACACATGAGAAATAAAAGGTTTATTCTGCAAAATCATTTAGTCATTGCAAAAAACATGCAATTCATAACTTGTATTATGAATATTTTTACTTTCCAAACATCTGAGTGCATTTTCAAAGTTGATATTCTTCATTTATTTTTTTTTATCTTGAGGCATGCTCAGTTCATTTTCATTTTTTTTCGACTAGTGTAAATATATCATTTTCCTCCAACATTTCAGATTCGGTAAATTGTTACTATGCTAAATTTAAATTTTCAACTTCTTAATCATTTTACTGATCGAGAAAATTCTCTACTACTTGTAATCCATTTAAGGTCGTAATTTTTAATCTGCACGTCATGAAACGTAGGTCAGTCTGGCAGATATGAAATGTACAGGGCCCCTTAAATGTCATTTTCCACACTTTTCCCCGTGAATTATTCGTTTTAACGAAATCATAAACAAGATTCAAAAGATTCAAGATTCAAAATATTTATTGGCAAAAACATTTTACAATGTCCATCGCCATGTTCGGCGGTTCAATAAACACATAATGAGAAAAGTATGTACATAACGAGAATGAGATAATTATAAATTAATTAGTAAATAGATTTAATAAACCAATCTTTTTAAATCTCTTACCAAACATACAAAGCTTTTATCGTTCCAATTTCTATACAAAGTACAAAAAAGAAACCCACTAGATAAGTGCATAGAACATAAATATGAGACATATAAATACATAATATACAATCATTGTGAGAACTGGTGAAGGGTATATTGGAAAATGATATATAGTAATATTTCAATCGCTTTTGAACCTTATGTTCCTTACAAAGACATGCTATACGATAAATAGCATATCAGAAGGAGCTAAGTAGCAACGTAACACGTACAGGTACCTCTTTTCCGAAACAAAATAAAAAGAGTACCATTACATGATAATCAAGTACATGTATATATTTAGATAGCTTCAAGAGTAATTGACGTCTGGTTATCACTTGTCAGACAATTTGCTAGAATGACCATTTTATCAGCTTCGTTACTGTTACCCAACACCAGTTCAGTTAACATTAACAAACTATATACATACGCATAATTCATGACAATAATTTTGATAAAGTGTATAAAGCTATATATCCGCTACAACAAGTAATGTTATATCTGAAAAAAAAGCAGAATACTTCCAAAATGTTTGTATGAAAGAAATAGTCTTATAAATGATACATGTTGTAAAGATTATAGCTTTATACCCTTTAAATAAACGCACATGTATGTTAGTCTATTATTAAATTACATACATTATATTTATTTCAGAGCACGTATTTTATTATGATTATTTGATGTAAAAAAATTTTAACCGATATCATGTTTGTTAGACATTCATTTTGATCAGAAACTTAGTCAACTTTAGTTTTTATAAACTATACTTAAATTGTATCCTATGAAGTTAAACGACACTCGTCGTTAAAAATACAGGTATAGTGAAATGTTATGTCAGTGTAATGACTCACGTTTATTACTTGCCAAATAAATGAACTTAGCTGTTTTATTCAGCAACTGAGCACAATTTGTATTCATTAAATATTTGAATTTATTCATAGTGGGCCAAACACAATAATAGCTTGGTAAACATTCCCTTCTGAGATCTCTATACTTAGGACATACTAACAGAAAGTGGTATTCATTTTCTACTTTGTTCATATCACAATTAATACAAATTCTATCATTTCTTTCAATATTTCTGTATCTGCCTTCCTCTATAAAAAGTCGATGTGCTGAGCATCTTAATCTTGTAAACGCTATTCTATATTTATCATTTAATATCAGGCTAAGATATTTTTCGTAGCTAAATTCAGTTTTAAATGAACAGTAAGTGTCTAATTTCGGAGAACTTTGTATATCACTAAACCACTGTTGTAAATATTGATCATATATTCTCTCGATAACCGCATTTATTTGTATATCTGTAACATCTTGCATATTCCATAAATATGAAAAACCCATATCATCAAGCAAATCTTTTACTTTCGCTGACCAATTATTAATAATATTACCGTGATCGTCTCTTAAATTATAAACTCTATACACTAATGAATTTGGGGATTTCAAAATTTTGTACCAAAACTTTACTATACTTATTTTCCTCAATACTATAAGGGGAATTTTGCCTAGTTCACCATAAGTTGCTAAATTTGACGTTTGTTGCCGTACGCATAATACATTTTTCATAAATTTCAGATAAACTTTTTCAATATCAGGAGCTTTATGGAAACCCCATACTTCTGATCCATAATTCAATATAGGTAAGATCATTGAGTCAAACAATGTCATTTTTTCAGTAATATCCATTTGTAAACTATCAAACAATGCATACAATGAAAATGATGCTTTCAACGCTTGTTTTGACAATGACTTCTGTGCTTGGTAAAAAGAACCATTTGATGACAATGTTACACCTAAATAAGTAAACTTTGTCACAATATTTAACTTATTTTGACCATAGAACAAATCAATATTTTCTGGTCTATTACCCCTTTTGAATACCATAACAACAGTTTTATTAATATTGACATTTATACCCCATGTTGTACAATATAGATTTAGTTTATTTAGCAAAATTTGTAAACCTTCTTTCGAGTATGAAAATAAGACAGTGTCGTCTGCAAAAAGCAGTAAAAATAACTGTACATTATCTAAACTAAAAACATCTATTACATCATTAAGCAAAAAGTCATACATATCATTTATAAAGAAAATAAATAATAGGGGAGATAATGGCTCCCCTTGTTTTACACCTGAGTTATTTTCAAAAAAGTCAGACAAATCACCATTTATTCTTATGCATGATTTAACACTTTCGTACATAGAACGCAAAACTTTAACAATTTTAAGTGAAGTCCCGTATCTTATCATTTTGACCCATATTCCATTTCTGTAAACAACATCAAAGGCTTTACGGAAATCCACAAAAGCACAATATAGTTTCTTATTTTCATAATTTAACACTTGATTTATAATTGAACTTAATACAAAAACACAATCTACTGTACTCTTTCCTTTGCGAAAACCAAATTGGTATTCAGACAATAAACCATTTTCTTCTGCCCAAGCTCTTAAGCGAGTATCTAATAAAATAGAGAAAATTTTAGAAAAAATACTAGTCAAAGTGATACCTCTGTAGTTATTTGTATCATTCATATCCCCCTTTTTGGGTACGGGGACTATAATTCCTTTAGACCAACTTTCTGGATAAATACCATTTACAAACATATAATTAAATAATTTACATAAAACAGGTGATAAAATTGTATTACATTCTTTAAATATTTCAGGAATAAGCATATCAATTCCACCACTTTTACCACATTTTAAACAGGAAATAGCCTTTTCAACCTCTATTATATCAAACATCTTATCCAGTTGTTGCACATCGTTATCATTAATAAAATCATTATTCATAAGCTCATTTTCTACATCATTATTAATAAAAACATTATCCTCTGCAAAAAGATTTTTAAAATGGTCATAAAAGTCATCTTTAGTCAGTGTACTGTCTGGATTTTTTTTATTTCTAACTTTTTTTATTTCGCTCCAGAATTTTTGTGGATTACTCCTTGCTAAATTATGTAAGTTGCCTTTCTGTTTTAATTTGAATTTGGCTTTAGCTTTTCTTTTAACTAGTTTATATCTTTTTCGGGCAACTTTTAAAATTTCATAGTTTTCTACAATCTTAGAGCATCTGTATCTTTTATTCGATGCCTTGTATACACGTCTTGCATCCTCACAGTCAGATGTAAACCACGGACTTAAAAATTTACGCTTATCTGACCTTTTACTATGATTGTATTTCTTTTGACCGAAAACACTAA